TTCGTAGCAAATGTAGCTGAGAATTAAGCCTATATAAAGCAAAAAAAGATTTGTCTCGAAAGTGTTTAGTCTAGCAGATACATCAAAAACGAAAACGTTACGGACTTACGTCTCGTTATGGACTTACAGCTTTTTTTGGTTTTTTCAAATCAGAAGGTTAAACTCTACAAAAGTCGTTGTAGAAAAATATTTCCGATAGCAGTAGACAGTATCTGATCTGATCTTTCCGATGCACCGTAGAAAAACGTTTTGAAATCGTTTTGACTTGGAGAAAAAACCGTTTTAAAACTTGGTCGGTCTTCGAAAAACCAACTTTCTTGGAAAGCACCTAAACTCAAAAATAAGTTTCTTTCCTAATTTTTTCGCGAAAATATCTAGGTCAGGAAATTAAAAATAAAATTTGGATTTTTTTTTAGGTCAAAATTTAATTTTTTGGAAATTTTAAGTTGATATTCGAAATCAGCTTCAAAAACTACGTTAGACGATGTGCTTCACAAAGTCTTAAAGTTAAAGAAAAATTTTCGAACGATCTTAAGTGAAGGTGATCGTTAGCTGGACAGGCCCTAATAAGCTATAATAAAAGAGTTTTTTAGTCCAAAAAACTCTCTTATTGTAGTTTATTGATCTGTGACTTTTTTTTAGAGTGCATTCAAACCAGTCTGTCCAGGTAAGTGTACTTGTAGTGGCTGTTGAACACGATTTGATAAATGGAGACGGAAAACTGGGCATGTGGTTGAAAATTTGGAGAGCGATGGTATCGGCATTAATGATGATAGCATCAATACATTTTCTCAGGATAGTATGAAGCAGTCTGTAAGTGGTTTTCATACCCCAATTCTTTTTTCTGCGGCAAGTTGTGACTCCTATAGGATCTTTCTGTTGTTAGTGCAAGTTTATTGCCTGTGCGCACACAAGTATAGTCCCAAATCCAAACCCAAACCATATATATAATGATGAATCGGATCTTCTTACGTTAGAGTGAAATATCAATCACATTTTGTAAATAGCAAAACACGTATCTGACTTTCGATGGCGCAGGATTGTATTGGATTTTCTAGGTGTTCCAGGACTGGCACCGGTGACTCGTGATAGCCTTGGGAATTGATGGATTATAGGTAATCGATCATATTGAGTCTGGTGGGAATATTTGTTTTTAGAAAAGGGTTAAAAATCTAGCGAAAAGCCAGTTTTACCACAATTAGGGTTTTCAGGCTCTTTTATTATAATATTAAAAAATTCACTGTTCAGTGAAAAAACATCAGCACGAGTTGAAAACTTCAAGATATGGTTAATTTTGTTCGCTAAACGTGATTTGATGATCGAAAGTATCGAAAAAGAAAAAAGAATATATTTATTAATGAGTTTTCCAAAAATCCTTTCGGAAAACCTTAGGGTTTTGTAAAACCTCTCTCTAGATCTCCTATAAATAGGATATGGAAGTGTCTAAATACTCTACATTCTGAAGTTTTGAACTCGTTCTGATGGTTTTTGAGTAAATAATGTACTTTTTAATATTAGGTGAAAACAGCCTGAAAATCCAAATTTTCGTAAAACTGGCTCCGAAACAAAATCCAAGCTATCGAAAATCAAGGTCTCGCTAAAGTCCTACTCTGACGAGGAGATCCCGGACTATCAACCCATGAAAAAAAAATCAATAGAATGCTATTCGAATATTTATACACACAACCTGATTTTGCTGAGATGCTAAAATGTATTTTGAATGTTAGACTACCCAGTTACATTTTCTTCTTAATATTTGATATAGCATTTTGTAGCTCGTGCAATTCTCTATCGAACGGTATGTAATAGTTGAGGCTTGCTCTGAGGAAAGTTCATCTAACGAGAGAATAGTTTTGTATGCGAAAATTGTTCCCAGGAGCACTGAAAAGGTTTTTTAAGGTCTAAAAATATGTTTGGTGTAATCGTGGACAAAAAATATATCAGATGCGTGAATATACAACTGATATGTGAGGGAGCGATTTTGGCTCTCTGTGAAGCATCAGCTGAGTTATCAAGAGTTGATTTATAAATTTTTGCTTATTGCATACAATGTATTGTAATTTTCTCTTTCAGCACACTAAAAGTAATAACAATTGGAACAGTTTGTCTGTTTTTGTTTCAAAACCACACTTATCAAATAAAATAAAAAATCATAGAAATGTACAAAAAAAAATATACATTACATGTACAGGATGTTACTTTTTTTTTGGTAATAGTCTATATATCATTTTATAGAATTATCGGAAGACAAAAAAAAATACAAAAATAATAACATTCACGGTCGCGTAGAAAAGTTTATTGCAAATAAACAAATGGCAACAAGAATCAACAATCAAAAGTAAAGTGTCTTTATGACAATCAAAAAAAACAAAACAAAAACACACAACGATCATATATGATATCGGTAAGAACCGATTTATTTTAGCAAATAGTAAGCAAATAAATGAATAAATAACTAAAATAAAATGGAACTGTAGTAGATGGAAGAGAAAGTAAAAAACGCATCATATCAATTTCATCAAGTACCATCTTCACCAACTTCTAAAAATTGTGTATATTGATCTTGAATACATTCGCCTTTTGGAGTTATTAAAAATCGACTGTAACTACCATCAGAACATAATGCTATAACAAAAAAAGGATTAAAATCATGGATATATCATGTTGAACTTTCTGATTCAGAATATATACGCCAAAACTAATGAAAAATCTTTTAATCAGTTTTTCAATGCATTTTCTTACAGTAGCATACCTAGCATCTCACAACAGGGAGTGGTCTTGCACAAAAAAAATTTTCGTTCCAAAAATGATGGTTTTTTGAAGAGCGAAAGACACGAATAGAAAATTTTCTGAACGCAGGGGGTGGTAATCACCCCCACAATCCCTAGTGAGTATGTCCTTGTTTTCTAACCATTTCAGACAATTTTTTTAATGTTTAATTGAGGAAGGACAAGATGGTAACACTTACCTATAACTGTTTTATTTACATCCGAATTGGGACCAAATGCGCATATACTTAATGTATTCGAAGGCAATTGAAATTTACACGAACTCCATTTAGAACTGAAATATTTTGGTAAAAATGTAGCAGCACTCGTTAAACTAAAAATAAAGACGTAGCAATGACAAATATAAATGATAGATATTCTAAACCTAGGTTAACCAACCCTGAATGTCGTGATTTATTTCGATGAGGTTCTTCAATATAAAATATATGCACCGTCGAATGATCACTTGATACACACAATAATGTAGAATCTTGATTAAAATTAATACTAGATTTAGAATAAAAAAAAATGTAAATAGTCTTTAAAATTTGAAAGGCTAAATAATTTTCAAACAAATCAAAATGAAAAATTCTAATAGTAAACCTACCAATGAATAGTAGCATGATTAGCACCACGTCGTAATTCGTTTAGTAACTGACTTGTCTCTGTATCAAATATTCTTATAAGTGTGCCCTTCAAACGAAAAACAAGAAAAATATGTTAGATCATTTTAAAATGGTAGAAATAAAACATTTACCTTTTCCGATGCTGTAGCTAAGCGAGTACCAGACATATTCATTGCTATATCTAGAAAAGAAGAAAAGATACAAATATTTCAGATTTAGTGAAAACAAAACAGTGACATACATATGACTGATGCTTCATGTGCATTTATTTCTACAACCGGTTTTTCTGTATTTGCTAAATCAATAAGACAAATGCGTCCTATATGACGACTCGGAAAGGCCAGATAAGATTTTGAACCGGATGGACAAACAACACACAAACCTAAAAAATCAAAAACATGATTCTAAATAAATAAATACACTAGCAATACTATAAGTATACCATGAGGATTTGTACAAGTCTCAAAGACATGTAATTGCTGAGGATTTTGTGTAAAAGTATAAACTTTAATCATCGTTTTAAGTACAACAATAATTCTTAAAAAAAAGGAAAAGTTGAAACTGAGCTCTTTCTTCTTTCTACTTCATTCTTACCTATCACGACGTAATCGTACTGCTTTCACTTCTGTTGAAAATTCAAGTTCAATAACAATTTTCTTCTTTAAATCATCCCAAATCATCACTAAATACAAGTCCTAAGTATAGGAAGTTTCTTTTTGCTTGTAATTACACAACTCAGAGATCAAAATGTAGATTTGAATGATCATTATTAATAAATATTCACTTATTTAGAAAAATATCATCATCGTTGTGTTTATAAGCAAATATTGAATTATATCACAGTAGTTTACCTTTCGATGGAGAATATTTAGGTGTGTTACCACCGCCGACAAGTGCTACCTAGAACCAAACAAAATACACAGAATGCTCATATGATAAGACACTATATAAGTTCTGTACTAACATAGTTGCAGCGGAAAAGCATTTCAACCTGACCAATACCACCATCTAGAAAATCTTGACGTTGAGTTTGACGGAGTGGATCACTATTATAAATGCGAAAACCATTCTCTAAGCCACATGCGAAACAACCTAAAATTATATATATTTATTATATTTATTTGTTGACGAAAAGAAAGAGCCACCAAAGGTTCCCGACCTGAATAACAATGACTCGAGTCAATAAAATAGCAAAGACAATTTGATAAAAGAAAACTAGAGTAATGGGTAGAAACAGATCAAGTAAAGAAATGAAAATAAAGTTAAAAAGAAAAGGAAAATTAAAATTAAAAGAAGAAAAAGTTAGCAGGGGTATGAGTTGACTGGAAATATGGCTGTACTTTACTGTAAGGAATGTAGAGATAGAGCTCTTTTAAATGATGATAAAGACGAAAAACAAATCACTGATTCTGGTAATTTATTCCAGTCAGTGACAGTTCTATAAAAAAAAAGGAGAAAACTGTTTGTGAAGTAAGACCGTTAACAAGAGGTGGAATGCGAACATGTTTAGAGCGATGAAGGCGTAAAGGAGCGTAGTGAGGATGATGAACAGGATAAAATAACAAATTTTATCAGTGTCTACTTCCATGTTATGTGATTAAATAGTGTACCTGAATCTTGATTGAAACCCACATAAAGTAAACCATTCTTCGCGGTTTTTGTACTATGTAGATTCATGTATTACCATAAAATTCTTAGCAATTTTTTAAAAAAATAAGCGGATAAAAAGTCATTTTTCAATCTAGAAAAACAGTGACCAAATGCACAGAGTTTCTCCACGTTTTTTATGTCATTCTTGTAACTGAATCCAGCTACAAAAATGATATGACATAAAGTATTTTCTGATATATGGTAATTTGTGGAATGAAGAGATAAAGCCAAATAAGAATAAGGTAGATGTAGTTACAATCAAGTGTTGTACATGGCGAGGGCTGCGGATCGGACTTTCATTGGCAGTAAAAATGATACTTTGAATGATTTCTCGTTTATTCATTCAGGTCATGTTTTGATATCTAATAATTGTATGAGTATGTAATGTGTCAAAAAATATGCTTTAGTCTGTTTGGTTACCTTGTTCTGGAAAAAAATATACGCTTAGTATAGAGTTTAAGAAAAATTTAAAGAAAACCAAAACTCTTTAATGCGGATTTTATTTTTAGAGAGAGTACGAACAGAAAACATGGAAAAGCTCGTTGGAAACACTGAATAAGTTTTTATCTAAGACCTTGATCTATGTCGTGTTCTTTGTGTTGAACTTGATTTTACGAAATCAAAATAATAAATGAAAACGTTTTATTTTCGTTTCATGTTATCAGCGATGTATTTTATGTCTTTGTGCGATTTGCATTTAGATCAAAAGTCTAACTTAGATAGTGCTTTTGTATCCGCATCCTTTCTCTGCTGTGAGAGTCGTAGGCTCTTCTCAGGCATTTTAGACATGAAGTCAGGAGTATCAATTCTGAAATTTCTAATGAAGAACAGTTCAGTGACAGTCTTAATAGATGGATGCTGAAATGATCATTCTCTTTTCTTTACGTTGCCTGGTAAGCAAGCCTCAAACACTTAAAAATTGCATATGTGGAAAGAATCATTGCTTCAATCAATTCTACAGACTAGCTGTCTAATGACCTGTACATTTCTTGTTAAGGTTCAACATCTCTACTCGTTCTCGCTCTGAGCTCGAAATTTTCTTTATGCATTTTACATTTCTACTCGTGCGTTTATTTCTCCCATTTTAATATTCCGCTCTGCTTAAATGGCGCAGTCTTTTTTCAGCTGTAATATGTGATTTTCGTCTTAGATGCGTAACTATCGTACAGATAAAAGTGAGGAAGAATTCGAAAGTGCTGACGAAGGTAGCAACAATGGATGGACCAATTCAATAGATAATAACAACGAGAAGAAAATCAATGTCAATCATAACGGCGCAGTCAGTGAGAATAATACGAGCTTAGTACAAATTACTAATGATCTGAATTCTGTTCAAATACAAAAAGACATTATAAAGCAAACACCGCTATCAGATACCGAAAAGAAAAATGTAGCTTCTGCTAGCACGAAAGATTGGTCTATCTGGCCAACATTCGACACAAAAACCGGAATAAATCAAAAGACTAATGATAGGCTAAACAGTGTGTCACTAAAGAAAGATCCTCAATATCAAGACTCATCTTCGCCGCCATCGTCATCTGCCCATTCAGATAATGATAGCTCATCATTAGAGGAAAAATCGAGTGATCGCTACTTAAATTACCAACAACGAAAAAAATATCGAAAAAATAGATGTGATCCAAATAATGACGACAGCGAATCAAACAAAGTTACAACACGTCCTTCTCGTGAAACAACAGCAAGAGATGACAAAAGTACTAACAACATTAAAAAACATCACAATGTTCACGAAGCTCGCCGTCTTCTCGATCATCTATCGGAGCAGTCACCAACTAGAACTGTGAGTAATCTGTTATCATTATTTGGTTCAGAAGTTACTGTTTGTTTGTTTTTCGTAGCCCAGCTGGGGTCAATCATGGTCAAATATTGGATCTTTTCTTTCGAATGCAAAATCGACAGTAAATACATTGAAAAGTAGTGTTAGTAAGTAAATAAAGAAATTGCTTGAATTTTTTTTATCACCTTGTTTTTTGTAGGTGAGGGCTTTAGTGCTGTTATTGAATCTGTTGAAAGTAGTCTAGGGGCACCTGATCCGGAGCAATTGGCAGAAATGAATCGAATGGCTTTCAAAATTAAAGGCGAAACATCAGATAGTGAAACAGAAGGTAAGCACTTTTCCAACTCTAATTTCAGATTATTTCATTCAGGCTTTTTGTTTAGAACCAGATGCACAACAAAACCAACAAGATTCAGTCACAAATCAAGGTGGTTGGCTAAGTTCTTTAAGTATTGACAAAATCACAACAACTGTATGTTTTTTTTGAATAAAATTATGTTAAAAATGGTTTATCGTTGTATTTCGTATTATAGGGTATGCAGATTGTTTCGGGAAGTTTAGATGTGTTGGAAACTGTGGGTAAAAAAACATTTGAAGCTATTAACGAAGTTGATCCAGAATTAAAGGGGACAAGACATTTATTAAAGGGAGGACAACAAGATTCCGTGACGCTATCTGAAGTATGATTTAAAAAAAGATATTACATTTATGTAAAAAAAATGAACGTATGTTTTTCCATCCTTTTTTTAGATAATTCGTGAAACACAGCAACAAGGTGATAATAATGATTTATCAAAATCCAACCATAATAGTATAACGTTTACTCGTTTATTTGAAAAAAATCAAGGTAAAGTTTTTTAGACTTTTTGAATGGTTTTGATTATTCTGATGGAAAATGAGATGTTTCGACTCCGATAAGAAATAATTATTTTTAATCGTATTTGTTCATTTTAAGGTTTGACACATTTAGAAGCATTGGAATCACTATCATCTCAAGCATCGATTAAAGTACAAACATTTGATTATCGTAATAACGAATTATTGGAAAAAATAGCCGTCTATTTCGACATGGAAAACGATAAACGGGAAGATGATTCAAGCAACAATGAAGCGATGAACAATATTGAAAATCAAATTCCTAATATAGATGATTTATCATTCAAATTTACAACATATCAAACACAATTACGTTCTACAGTATCGATGGATAAAGTGTTGGAAGTTTATCAATCAGCACATGAATTTATAAAAGAATGGGATTGGATGGATACAGCGTTGGATCAAAAAGTGAGCATACAATTTTTTTTTCTAAAAGTGAGGACATAGGAACAGTTTAAGACGATTGTGCTGCGAAACAGAATATTTTTTCTAACAGTATAAATTTATAGTTAAATCAGTCTGCGTTAATTATTTATTTTATTTTGAATTAAAAAATATTAAAATAATACAATCTTTTTCTTTAATTTTATCTCAATTTTATTGGTACATTTGTTTTATTTAGACATTACATGACGAAGCAATAGATTGTTTAGCAATATTATGTTCTCATATTGTTGAGTATTATCGTAAAACAGCTGAATTATTTTTAATGGGTTGCAAAAGTTTAACAGCATTTTCTGTTGATGTTGAACTGTTGAAACTCTTTCAAAAACAACAAATTGACTTCACAAATATGTTATCTGGAATTCCTATTTTATTTGCTAAACATATGAAACATATTAATAATGTTCCTTCAAATTCAATAAAAAATAGTGAAACACCTGTTCGTTGTGCTGTCGATTATAAACATCAATTAATTACAGATTTATTCATACAATCTACAAGTTCATTGACTTATGCACATGATGCATATTGTCTATTGAAACCAGTTATTCAACAATCGATTATTTATCATATGAGTGCAATAACGACATTGAACGATCTTTAATTTTTTCAGATACCCATGTATGTATTTTTTTTTATTTGCTTTCTATGTTAAGCATTGTATGCCTTATTTATTTTATGTACAAAAAGAATCCCGAAATTTTGTTTATTTGTCTGTCATTTCGTTCACATTTGTTAGTCTTTTGTTTTGTATTTTTTTGTTGTATTTTTCATTTTATTTAAATTAGAGATAAAAAGAAAATGTGATGTTTCCTCAACATTTCTATTGATGTACCACTGAAAATGTCATTATATATAATTAAATTATAAACATATATTTACAAAATCTTCATCTTTAAATTGTAGTTTTAATACTTGACTTTTTGATACATGTCTTTTCTCATTTTTGAAACATTGATTTATTAATAACAACGTAATGTTTACCTTTAGTCTTTAAGAGGATTTTGTCTTAAAAAATCCAAGAGGAGGACTAGCCATATTCATATCGAACTCTATTCGTTTCTTATTTGTTTCTTACTGTGCTGATCTTGAATGTTTACTTGTAAAACTTACAATTCAATCTGTTGAGCTTTTTCTGTGCTGTTGTTATAGAAAGCCATTAGCAGATAAGGATTATTATGAAAAACTTTCTGTTTTTTTGCTAAAACATGTAGTAGGAGGGCACAGTCAACTTATTATGGCTGGGGATTTCAACTTAGACCCTGTCCTTCACCCAAACTTATATGGTGAGCTTTGCGAACTGACTGCACTTTTCCATCTTTCTTTGTCAACAATCGGCTCTACTACACGAAAGGGAACATCTTTAGATAACATTTTTTATCCTTCTGCTTGGCTACCACCAGATTTCCGATTGTTTGATGCACTGGGAAAGTCTTATGATGGAAATCTATTTTCCAAATTTCCATCTATCTCCATTTCGGGAAGCAAAAATCACGATACGGTGTGAGATTTCCGAGACTGTGATTGAGAAGGCTTAAAAGAATCTTTGCGCTTGTGTAGCAAAGATGTTACAGATCAGGATAACGTACACGAGGCTCTTAAGTTTTTTCAAAACGCAGTAAACAACGGTGTGAATAAATTTGTTCCCGTAAAAGTTAGAAAGAAAAGACAAGTCCTCTTTTTCCGCACGGGTAAACATTATTACAGATTAAGGCGTCAACATGATATTCAGTTTTTGAAGGTTAAGCAAAATGCAGCTGTTTTTAACGTTATAAAATTACACTCGTTAAGGAATAACGCAACTGAGAAATTCAGAAGGTGTAAGCCAGAATATTTTTGTAAGTTAGCCGCAGAATGCAAGTCATCCCAGACGTTTTGGAAAGGTATTTCTCGAGCTAATGAAGGTGGTAACGAGTTACTGGCGAATATGTTTTTTGAAAATAGAAACGCTTCTTCAAACAATGAAAAAGCTGAGCTTTTCAATGAGTATTTTTCAAAATGTTTTGTGCCAAAACAAGGGCCAACGGTTAAACCAAAAATTGAAATAAATGATGTTTTTACACTAATTCCGCCCTCAGAAGATCAGATATTTAAGGCAATAAGTGAGCTGAGAAATGATATTGCTGCGGGACAGGATGGTGTTACTGTGAAGTTTCTTAAGGAATGTTGCCTCGAGCTCCTTGATGCCATTTATCATATCTTTACTCTCTCTATCCGTAATGATGCTCATCCCTCGGCATGGAACTTAGCTGATGTTATTCCAATCCATAAGAAAGGCCCAAAGGCGTTAATTGATAAATACCGGCCAGTATCATTACTTTCTATCCTTGGTAAACTGCTGGAACATTTTATTTACGATCAGCTGATAGCATACCTAAATAAACATCACTTTTTTTCAAATTTTCAATTCGGTTTCCGCAAAAATTGTTCCACAACAGATGCTCTTCTCTTTTTAACTCATAACGTTTATAAAAATCTAGAAAATGGAACTGATTCCATCATGGTCTTATTGGATTTTGAGAAAGCTTTCGATCGTGTTTCTCACCAAATCTTGCTTACGAAGCTTTCCTCGTTGGGTGTGAAAGAAGCACCATATAAATAGTTTAAGAGTTATTTGTTAGATCGGAGGCAAAGAGTTCGGATAGGCGGATCGCTTTCGGAAACAGTAGAGGTTCCATCTGGAGTCCCACAAGGCTCTATTTTGGGGCCGCTACTGTTTCTGATCTTTATAAACGATCTTCCAGTGGTAACAGCGTTGCCAGCTTTATCCATTCTTTTTTGCCGACGACTGCTCGTTGTTATGCTCGATGAGAACGTTATGCTCGATGAGAACGTTTAGAGAAGCACCAGTGATGATTCGGTTAGCGATTTTTAAATCAGGTATTCTAAGTAAACTGGACTATGGTAGCGTTGTCTATGATAGTAAATGGCATGGAGGTGAGCTTGAAAAAGTCACTAGATTAGCGGCACGAATGATATCTAAGAAATTCGATGGATCTGCAACATCTTTGGTTAGTAAATTGAAACTTCCAGATTTAAGGATAAGGAGAAAATATTTTAGGCTGCTACATTTTTTTAAAGTAAAAAATGCTATTTCTCCTCTCTCCATTTTCACTCCTCCTTATATAAAACCGGTAACTGCTCGGAGATCAGATCGATTTAACGTTGATCGACAGAATAGTATGCAGGTTGAAACTCCGACAGTTTCCAAAGAACATATAGCCTCTTCATTTTTTTATCGAACAGCAATCGACTGGAACTCTTTGCCAGATCAAGTAGTGACCGCAAGAACAGTCACTTTTTTCAAAAGAGCACTGCGAATCCATCTGCACATTTGAGTAATCTTTGGTTTCTGTCTTACTGCTTTGAACATGGTTACTTCTAGCATAGTAGTTTGTTTTTCTTTTTCTTTTGTTTTTTTCTTTTTTATGTCTTCTACTGCTCTTCAAACGGATGTTTTCGCCTTTTCCGTACAGGTGGTACTTTTTTACAAGCCTCTGGCTTTTTGTGCTTACCTATGTGTATAGGATTTTCTGAAAGATTATTTTCTACACACGAAATAAAGTTCAAGTTTAAGTATCAAGTACAATTTGAGAAATCAACTAAGCTCATCAACTGTAGCGAAACTATTGGACTATTAAAACTTACACTTGTCAGTACCGTACACCAATAACGTTAGATAAAAACGTAGAAGATTCTTCCTTCGTCAGAAATCAATATACTGGAAAATATCACTATGGGAGACAATCAGTATTACAAAGCACATTTTTTGTTTTTTTTTACTGTGTGTATATGGAAGGTATTAAGCAAGTTTTTCCACAGTATTTTTTGAAGATATTCTAAATGCTCCTCGTAGTTCTTATCTTGAAAATTTATTTGTCATAAACTAACGAACATAAATTGATTCAAATATTCTATATCATCAGTTAAGTGATGCATCCATACAGGATCTGACCATGTATTTCGTATAGTACTACTAAAAGTATGTAAAGATCCTCATTTGTCTTCTGTATATGTCATATAGAATATCTGTTTCTTTTTCACATAAATAAATACGAAATATTTACGATGAACAATGATTGTCTTATCGATATTCAATCTTTTGTTTACATAAATTTCTATTTTTAGAAAAAAAAAAACTGCTAAATAAATTATCTAGTAAAATACAACATTATATTTTTTCGTAACTTGAGTATATTTATATTGCATGTTGAACTGCTAGTCAGCAATTTCTTATATTCCTGTTAGTTTTGTTTTTTTTGACCAACATTCGTTGTGTGTGTATATAGAAAGCAAAAAAGAAAAAGAAGAAACTTTTCTTTCCGTATTTAGTATAGAAAAATAATTATGAGTTCAATACAATAGTTTTATTTTTCTTTTCTTTTTTAGCGTGCGTTAGAAAACCTGAACAGAATAGACTATTTTTTTATACAACAAGATAGAGGATGTTATGTGAGTCGTATTAATCGAGAGTTTCCATGTAATATGAAATTTTTGTTTAGGATAAATAACCACATATTTGTTAAAGTTACTGTCGTACATATATGAGCATTTTGCAGTAAAAAGCGTAATTATTTTTATGTTAACTAGGTATTTGTCTGGAAACTTTGAATGACTCATCGATTACTCTATTTTTTTTTCCCGATAAAAACTGCTTCTGGGTACGATACATTTAAAGGAGAAAATACAATAATAATGGTGAATGTAACGATGTAATTTTCGTAAAATTAGTTGGTAATTGTGTGACATAAAATAGAGTAAAATATAGAAAGTCAGATTTACATTAAAATTCTTATTACTTGATTTTCGTAAAGTAATATTATTATTTTGTTTTTTAGATTAATGTGAAAGATCTTGATTTTTATATGTATGTTCGATCAAAAAAACAATACGCTATATTTTTCTAATTAATTAATATGATTAAAATACTCATGACACCGTTGTGTATTTATTTTTTATTTATTTTTAATATTTTTGAACTTATTTATTCTAAAGATCAAGTGGAAATCGATAATGGTAATCATCACAATACCAAAGAAATGTTTTCCATTTTACAAAATGTACATGAACGATGTCCAGAAATAACATATATTTATGATTTACCATTAAAAAGTGTACAAGAAAGGCCATTACGTGTTATTGTTTTCTCAGATAATCCAACTGAACATGAACCTCTTGAACCAGAATTTAAATATATTGGAAATATGCATGGAAATGAAGTAGTTGGTAGAGAATTATTATTAAATTTAGCCGAATATTTATGTAATGAATATAAATTTAATAATAATGAAAATATAAAAAAATTAGTGGATAATACGAGAATACATTTGATGCCTTCTATGAATCCTGATGGATGGGAAATAGCTGCTGCTAATGCTTGGAATACAACTGGACAACAAAACTTTCCGGATATCAAAACAATGTTAAAAGTATGATAATTATTTACCTTTTTATTAGATTTTCTATCTTTACACATAAGGAGATCATGCATACATTAATAATGAGAGAAAATGTTTTGAAATGAGATCCAGTAAGCACACTTATCTATCTATTACTTCTGTCAACTATAAATGCGTTATCAGCATTCATTGAAAATATGAGACTAAATCTAAAAAGTTTTTTGTTTTTTTGTTTTTTCAGGAAGAAGGAACTACTGATTGGACCGCTGGCCGTGCAAATGCGAATGGTATTGATCTTAACAGAAATTTTCCAAATCTTGATGAAGTTATATATGAATATAATCATCTTGCTAATCATCGAAATAATCATTTGAATATTGAGACATTTATTGCATTAACAACTGGTAGTGACTGTCACGATAATCCAGTAGGTTTAATAATTTTCTCTTGTGATAAGAATATCGAGTCAAATTTTTTTCCATTTTCTTTCCTTTTTTCTCTTTGTTCTAGTATCAAATAGAAACAGTAACCGTTGCATTTTGGATTATGCAATCATCATTTGTATTATCAGCGAATTTACATAACGGTGATCTAGTGGCAAATTATCCGTATGATGATAGTGAATTACATGTGAAAACGTATTCACCATCACCCGATGATCCATTATTTCAGTATGCATAACAAGAACAAATTACGTATTACTGATCAATTTAATTTTTTCATCTTTTTTTAGACAATTGGCTGAATCGTATTCTTACTCTCATTCAAAAATGGCCAAATCGGCAAAACCGTGTGCAACTGATTTATTTCAAGATGGAATAACGAACGGTGCAAATTGGTATCCTGTTTGCGGTGGTGTGTTAACGAATAATAGTTGTTCTACTTTGAAAAATATTTTTTGTTATTATTTATGTAATAGGAATGCAAGATTTTAATTATTTGGCAAGTAATTGTTTTGAGTTAACTCTTGAACTTGGTTGCAGAAAATTTCCTCCGGGAAAACATCTAGCAGGCTTATGGGATGATAATAAAGATGCATTAATTAATTTTATGTGGCAAGTAAGTAATTTAAACGCATAGGTTTCATATTCAACATATGTTTTCTCTGTAAATAGACCCATCTTGGAATCAAAGGTTTGATCAATGATGAAGATAATGAGCCAATTTATAATGCTACAATAAAAGTTTTTCAATTAGTTAATGGTCATTGGAAATATATTGATCATGACGTGACCTCTGGTAAGGTGTTCAGTTTCTTATCGTGTTTATAGCGTGTTTCTCTGAAGTAACCTTGTTGGCATTTTTTTAGCTAAAAATGGTGATTATTGGAGATTATTAACCGATGGTTCATATGCCATACTAGTAAAGAAATCAGGCTATGAAACAAGTATAAAGTATGTTGATGTACAAAACGGCAAAGATGTTGAAGCACAACGAGTAGATTTTACATTAAACAGTCAAATGTCAAATAAAAGATCACATATTCAAGCTCTATTAAAAAGATTAATGAAAAAAGTGAGTCATTGCTTGCATTATAGTATCCGGTTATTAATTCTTTTTTATTAATTTAGAATTATTAAAAGTGTAATGAAAGAGCGGAAAATCAAAATATTCTCAAATCAAACAGTGTTGAATCTCAAAACGAAATTTTATTTTTATTGTGTATTTTTCGAAATATCAGATGCAGTATTAAATGTATTTATTTTTTTATGTATTTAATTCATTCCGTAAAAAATAAATACGTATTACATTGACGCACACATAACCGTACGATAAATTCTCATTTTTGTTGTCTGCCTTGTATTAAATTATAAAATTGTACCTAACTCTTAAACGGTATAGTAGTGTTTCTATTTTGATTAAGATAGCAGTTGTTAAGACACTTCTTCCAGAGAGAAATCAATCAAAAATTCGGTATGTAATCTAAACAGATAGGTGAGTTGCACTATATGTCAACTGTGAGAATATAAAATGGAACCTTCTACATCAAATATATTCAGTGTTTTTTCAGACGGAGTGGCAAACTCACCAAAAATCCATGATTTTCTAAATATTTCTGTCATATGGGGAAAAATTGGAGTAACTTTTTCAATTAGACTTAAACCTTCTTTAGAGAATAATTTTAGTAAGATGTCTGAAAATTATCAAAAAACCTTGGTAAGGTAGCACCTATCGGTGCTAAAATGTGAAACTCATAATTATACCGTTATAGAATAAATAAAGTCTCTTTTCAGTTCGTGTAAAGGTATTTTTAAAATCACGTAAAGGTATCATCGTCAGTCGCGTAAAACTTTTCAGAGCACGTAAAGGCTTTTTAAGGTCTGATAGGGGCCACTTTAAGAAAATGTAAGTTCATATTTAGGTTTAGGATCGTGGAAGCAAGGGGATTATGGGTAAAAATTAAGATAAATACTCCGGGCTTTGGAGTATAAACTGAAAATCTTTCTTCTCGGTATGACATGAAGAATTTCATAAAAAGCTATTATTATTAGGAGTATCCATGGTCGCATCGTACTCGAACTGTGTGACTTATTTTCGGATCTACATTACTGGTCCAGAATAAACTTTCTCTCATGGTAATCTGGCATATGCACTGTCTGAGAGCAAAAAACTTAAAAAAAAACTCCAACGAGAAAAAAATGTATCCTCATGTAACCATAGTAGAAAACTGAAACATAAACGCAGAGGCACCAGCAACTAAAGTCAGATTTAACATACAATCAAAAACCCATAGAGAGTAAAGATAAGGCAAAGAGCGATATAACGTCGCGTAAAAGCACTGTAAAATCATGTAAAGTCAGTCTTCAGATGGTGTACATACAACTCAATGTCTCTAAAAGATGTGCATAACCTTAAGATGGCGTAATGGTCACTTTAAGATCGTGTAAAGGTACCATAGTCAGTCACGTAAACCTCTTCAGATCGTGTAAGGGTCTGTTTCAGATCGCGTAAAGGTCATTTTAAGATCGTGTAAGGGTACTCTTTAAGTGCGTGTAAGCAGGAGGATGGCGGGGGAACCAAAATAACTAGTATTCGCCTGGTTTTTGAGTATAAACTGAAACCCCCTCTACTTTGTAAGACGAGGAGTTTCACAAAAATAGCTTTGTTAGTTCATGAGAGCAACTGATTTGTTTGATTTAAACTATGCCCATATGTTCATCTTGTCAGCTAAAAAACTTTTGGTAAATCACTCAAGTATACATCGTTTTTATTGTTAGTTGAAGAGTTGTTGACATTTAAACACATTCGCATGAGCCATGTCTCTCGTTCTTATGAGTAAACAGGTCACTTTAACGCACCTACTGTTTTTAAAATCTGCTCATAAGTTCGTGTACGAGGTAATGAAAAAAATCGAATTTCCATACAGGTGCGATTTCACCTAATATAGATTTTCACCAAATTTTGGAATTTTTTCCGAAAAAAAAACATTGCCACGAGACTCAGCGTGATGGATAACCCATGTTTCCATTCATTTTCGAGATTACCACGCCTAAGGAAATACCGATGCTGAAGCTTCCAGAAAATCCGATGCCGCACCTGAACCACCAAAGATTAAGAGATCGCTTAGTTTCCATTTTGTAGAGGACATCTTAAGCTATCATACTTATATGAGAAACACAGAGATCATTCTGGGAGAGCTTGGAACCACGACCTACTCTTTCAAAGTCTAATACGGTATACCACCTGCATGTGGTATTTTCCGAGATATTTTTATCTCGGTTTGTAGCTAATTGGCTCGTCTATACAATGCTGAAAACCGCAAGCCTTCAAAGTGCAGTGTTCAAAAGTTATTAAAGAAATAGCCACCGGCATTCTTTTTAATAATATATGGTCGTTTAATTCGTATAAAAGCCCATATGTGAAAAAATTTCGAAACAGCCCCATATCCATGACAAATTAAAAACACAAAGTACAGAATTTTGTAGCCCTTGGGTAGCTGATTCAAATGATATATTATTGGTTGTATATGAACGAAAGAGGTTGAAGGAAAATAGAATGCAAACGACCAAACTACAGCGAACTGACATCAGTTTTAGAGAAAAAATTTAGAAAAAGTCTGTTAGATAGAAATTTTTTCTTCCTTTTTACACACATAATAACTATGAGTAATTACGCATCTAAATATACTTGAACGAAATTTTTATCATTATTCCTGAAAGACTTATGAAATATCGAAAATCAGACGCTAGACCGAAAATTTTGACCAAAGTCCAACGTTAAAAAATTCATAACTTCACTAATATTCATAGAACCACCGAAATTTCTTGAAGATACATAATACTCAACGCACTCTACAAACTGGTATGATTTGAGACCAGGTTTGTAGGTGGTTACCCCCTTAAGCTAGACTTAAGTTTTTGGTAATACGACGCCCTGAGCATCAGTATGGCGTCCGACTGTTTTTTGCCTATTTTAGTTAAAGTGAAATTCACTGTGCTTAATCACAATATTCAGAGTGTCTCATCACGCATTACTATTCTCGAACATACAATATTATCCACAAAACCTCATATTGTATGCCTTGCGTCAGATCCTAACTCCCAGATCTATAATATTGTCTATTAGTGTGGACAGTCGTACTTTTATTGTTTGCAATTCTTACCATCCATCCCCCTCTCCAAGCCTCAGAACATAAATTGTTTTTCGAAATTTAAATCTTTTTTCATGCCACACTTGTCTTCGTCATATGAAGCTCTTTTAGTTGCTGGGGATTGCAATGCTGACCCTGTCAATAATGCTCCAATGTATATTGGCCTATCAAGTTTAGCACAAGTTTTGAACTTAATTGCGACTCTATCACCTTCAGAAGAATGGATTTAACTGGTCTTGACTAGACATGCACCAATTTTTAACTGGTGTTGGGGCATCCGGGAGAATTGCTATAAATCAGTTATCACGATTCTCTCAGAGCTGTAAAACATCTAATTTTGTAGAAAAATGTTTGCTCTACAAAATGCATTTGTTAAAAGAAT